CCTGGGAGGGTACCTCCCTGGGTCTCGGGCAATTCTGGCAACTGAGAGGGTGGTGGCACCATGCCCTGTTGCCCTCGGAGGGCGGGGCTGGCCGGCTGTGCCTACTCCCAAGTACTGGGCCCCTTCCCCTGGGTCTGTGAGCAGGAAGGGCTATTTTGCGGTTTCCAGAAGCCCCCAGCGAAGGGCCCCATTTGTCTTCCCCAGAGGCGCCTTTGGCCCTAGCTTGACTCCACCTTACTGCTCCCAACCACCTTGGGGCCCCTCCTTCACTGCCACGTTTCTCAAATGAGAGTACTACGTGGCCTGACTCCCTTCAAGGGGAAAAGAAAGCATTCTTGTTGAACCCTAGTTGGCCTTGAATGATTTTTTATCACATTGTTATTTGAATATGTGCAAATACAAGACTAGGTATGAAAAACTCGTGATGCTTATATCCCTTGAACAACTAAAAACGAAACAAAACCACAAGTGGGATAAAAAAGAAGCTACAAAACAATAAAATTCAAATTAACAGCATTCATTTAATGTGATGGATGATGTTGTTTTGCTGGAACCCAGTTGCTCACGATGTGGCTGTGGGCCTCTTCTGGGGCAGGTTCTTTTGAGATCTCTGTACCCCTCCCTTAGGGTGCCCTGTGGTGACCCGCATGGCCCACCAGCTTACCCACTGGGCTCACTGCAGAGTCTGTCTTTGCTCTTTTGGTGTGAGTGCATCACTTCTCTGCCAGGTCTCCCCTTGCTCCCTGCTCATTACCTGGTGACAGCTGAGGTACTCGTGCTCATTACCAGAGCCCATGGAAGCCCTGACACCATGCAGCAAAACATGGCCTGAAAGTCATTCTATCCAGGTGACTCAGGATGTACATCTGTTCTCCAGATACTCTTCTAAATGAAAACCCCAAATAAGCCCTCCTCCAGGGTTCCATAAGACCCCAGCTCGAGAGACCTTGGCCTAGAGAATACAGCCGAAATTCCCTAACACGGCATTCAAGGACTTTCCCTCCTGGCCTGCTGCTCCTTCCTGCTCTGTCTCTTGCTGCTCGTCTCCCATGCCCCCAGTGCTACATTTGTATCATCCCCAGAGATCCGGGCACCCTCACTGTGCCCTTGCCCTGGTATCTTTCTCCCTAGTGCCTTTCATGTGTTGTGGTTCTTAATTGACTGATGCCCCTGTCTCCCCCATCCAGGTCATAAGCTCCGTAAGAACAGGGATCCTTTCTGTCTTATTTACAGCTATCTCTCCAACACCTGGAATAGAACCTGGCACATAGTAGGTCCTTAGTACATCTGTGAACACCTTGCTGTTCGTGGGCTTCCTCAAGCCACAGTGCTTTGCCTATGCTGTTCTCCTTTATGGCAGCAAGCCCACCACACGCCTGGCCCTGTGAAGGTTCCTCACTTCTTGCACGCACAGTTGGTTCTTAGTCTTCTGGCCTCCTGTGACCCTTTGAGAGTGGCCTGGACCCCAGATGCTGGACTACCTGTGACTGGATCTGGGCCTCCTCCCCCCCCTCCCCCCGCCTAGGAACTCCACCAGGGCAAGAGCCTGGTAATGTCTCCTTCTGTGTCTGTAGTGCCGTATCTCCAGGGCGACAGGTCTTCTTTTATGCAGTAAATGGATGCTTGGGTCCTCGTTAGCCCCTCCTCCACCCCTGAAGTTGAGTTGGGTCTCTTCTCTGCCCAGATAAGGTGTATTTCGGCCCCCCGCGCCTCTTCCAGGAGCTGCAGGACCTGCAGAAAGATCTGGCTGTGGTCGAGCAGATAACCTTCCTCATCAGCACGCTGCACGGCACCTACCAGGTACCCAGCCCTGGCCCGGCTTTGTTGGGCTCTGGGCTCCTCCCTCGGGCAATGCCCAGATCAGCAGGTGGAGTGGGAGAGGGCTCCTGTCTTAGCCCAGGCCCCAGGCGTGCTCCTGGCTCCTGAATCCCACAGGCAAGAGGAGCAGCTAGAACTCCCCACTGCTACCTAGATGTCTGGTATGCGGCCTCTGGTTCGGGGGTGAAGCTCTGATTTGGGTTAAGTGGGGTCTGGCTGTGTGGTGATTGTTTTGTTCTCTGCACACTGACCAGTCAGTCTCGCAGCCCCTTCCTGGACCTCACCCCAAAGCTGGAGAGGATGCTGGCTGGGAGGTTGTCCCTCTCACAGGAGGGGTACCAGCTGGGGTCTGAACGAGGGCTGGGAAGCCTGCTGTGGGCCTGCAGCCCAGGGAGCCGGCCGCCTCCTGTGGCTGAGCCAGAGGTCCCTGCTGAGCTCCGGGACCTCCCCAGCTCCTCTCCCCCTGGGGTCCCTCCGGATGCTCGAGAATCCTGTGTGGCTCTGGGGGAGCCAGCAGGCCGGGTGGTGATCTCACTGGCCTCCTCAACCCTAGAACCTAAACATGACCGTGGCTCAAGACTGGTGCCTGGCCCTGCAGAGGCTAATGCGGGTAAAGGAGGAGGAGATCCACTCGGCCAACAAGTGTCGTCTCAGGCTCCTGCTTCCTGGAAAACCTGACAAGTGAGATGGGGAGCGGCCACCGCTGACGGGTGGTGGGGGGACGCGGAGAGAGGGCACCTGGAGCGGACCCATTCATCAGTGTGGTCATGGGCGTGGGTGTATACACACTGCGGGCCCTGCCCAGCACAGCTCTTAGCCATTGAATGAATGAATGAATGAATGAGTGACTGGTTCATACTTGACTTAAGCCTATCCTCTGTTAGGAGATGCTCTGCTGTTGGTTGGTTCCATTTGTGCTGTGACCTTTTCCCTCACTCCAGACGGTGCAGAGCCCTGGGACCAGGCCTTGGGTCTCCTCACGGACCCAGCCTCCCCCCAGCATGGCCCCTACCCCCAAATGCCCACCCTGGCACTTGTGCTCCATCGTAGACCCTCAGCTGATGTTTGTGGAATTGATGACAGGTCTAGCAGAGATAGGGAAGGCTAGCTCTGAGCCCCAGTTTGCAGATGAGGGCAGTGAGGCTCCAGGGGTTGTCGGATAGTGCCCCCCCGCCCCCGCCGGCCACGGAGTAGGTTCTGGGCTCTGACCTGAAGCCTAGGCTGGTGCAGTGCGGTGGCTCACCGCCCAGGTTTGACCTCAAGGATGGGGGGACGGTGGGGGGCAGAGTGTTACAGGCACCTTGGCTTCAGGGCCGGGAAGATCGGAGCACTGGTGTTTGAGGCAGGGCCCTGAGCCCAGGAGCCCAAGACGCAAGGCTCCAGGCTGGAGTCTCAGAGACAGAGAGGCAGGGCTCTGAGCTGGAATCCCAACCCACCAATGTGCCATTCCCCTGCTGAGGGGGCCTCACACAGCCCCTTCCCGCCCCTGCACCCCTTTCTCCCTTTCTCCCTTGGGAGAGTTAGTGACACTGGCCCTGCCCGCCCCCTGGGATGGCCCCCCTCCCCGCCGCCCGGTGGAAAACAGACCCCAGAGGACCCTGAGGGGCCCCGCTGCTCCAAGGTGAGAGGACAGTAGTGTGACAACAGTGACCTCTAGCTGCCCAAGCCTGTCACAAGCCCATTCACTCATGTGTCCATTCTGCAAGTCTTTGCTGAGCAGCTGTACTGTGCCAGGAGCTGGGAGCAGGCCCGCGGGAGCCCGTTCCTCCCTGCAGACGCTCCCGGTCGGATGTGTACGTGTGCCTGACGAGGCCCGTGGAAAGCTGACCGGGGAGCCCTGGCCTCTCGAGTCGCTGGGCACCAAGCCCAGGGGCTGGGCTGGGGAGCGTGGCCTGGTGGCTTTAGGGAGGGACCTCCATTCTGGGGTCACGGTGGGTGGAGGGACTCTTCCCCCAGGGGATGGAGGCTTTGGGGGGGCCACCAGGCTTTCTGGCCCCGCTTTGATACTCTGAGCTGAGCTGGCACCACAGCTGGTGCCCGTGGTTGAGGGAAGAACCAGGCACTTGTTCTGGGCGCTCACGGTCCTCGCCCTCTCGCCGCAGGTCCGGCCGCCCCATCAGCTTCATGGTGGTCTTCATCACTCCCAACCCCCTGAGCAAGATCTCCTGGGTCAACCGGTTGCACTTGGCCAAGATCGGACTCCGTGAGTAAAGCCCTGGGGAGAGTACCTCAGGGGACAGGGGTGCAGAGCAGGGAGGCTTGGGGTGTGCATGTGTGGATGCGTGGGGGCAGGGGGGCTTCTGAGTTGGAGGGAGGCGGTGCCGTGGAGGAACACGGGAGCCAGGGTTCTGAGTCCTGAGGCTCTGCCTAGTAACCCTGGACAAGTCACTGCCCTTGTCTGAGCCTCAGTTTCCCCGTCTGTAAAGTGATGGCAGTTGATGATGTCAATGAGTGGTTGTCAGGGCCCTGGGGGAGGGTGGTGAGGGCGTGGCTGCTGAGGGGCTTTCTTTCGGTGGGATGGAAATGTTCTAAACGTAGGTAGTGCCGAATATGCTAGAAACCTTGATGCGAATACTTTAAAAGGGCGGGTTTTACGGTAACCGAATTCTTTCTCAATCAAGCTGTTACCAAAAGAAAAAAAACAAAACAATGCAGGTTAGAGTAAACTGATTTTCAACCAGGGCCTCTTTTTTTGTCTCATGCACCCCGTAATGATCATATAAATAAGACAATGTTTACAGAGTGCGTCCTACATGGCGGACGTTTTTCTAAGCATTTTACACATGTTTTTTTCTTTTCACATTGATAATTCTGAGAGGTAGGTTCTGTTGTGAACCCCCTTTTACAGTGGAGGGCTCCGAGGCCCAGAGAGGTGCAGTGACTTGCCTGAGCTCACACAGCAGGAAGGGGCAGAGCTGGTAGACATTACATGAGGAACCAATCAACAGGGAGAGGTGGTGCCATTTAGGGGGCAGAGATGGGTGACGTGACTGTCACTGAGCCTGAGGATCAGGACTGCCGTCAGGGAGGGCCTCTGGGAAGTGACATCTGAAGCTAACAGAGATCTGGGCAAAGCAGTCTAGGCTTTGGAAGAGCAAGTGCAAAGGTGCTGCGGTGGCCAGAGCTGATGAACCGTGGGGCGAGAAGTAGGCAGGGGGAAGGTCGGGCAGCTTTTCCAGAAAGCCAGGGCGAGATGTATGGAACTCATTCTGAGCGTGATGGGCAACTCCTTATAGCAGTGAGAGCTGGGCAGCATCCTGATCTGGTTTCCACTTGAGTGGATGGCTCTGTCCACTGTGCTGAGAGGGCATGGGGAGGTGGGAGGAAATGGGGAGGAGGTGGTGGCTTTGGGGGAGCCAGGGTCAGAGGCCTTGATCTGGTGCTGACGTGGCAAAAGCCTCTGCTGGATGTTTCCAGGCGACCAGGAGAGCTGCAGAGGGAGGAGAGAGGATTTTAAGTGGAGATAGCCCCAGCCTTGGCAGCCAACCGCGGGAATTCTAGCCCCAGGGAAGGCTGACGTGGCTCCGGGCCGGCCCGCGGAGCAGTCCAGTCTTGGGCACGCCTGAGCTGATTGTACACCTGCTCTAAAAGTCAGGTCAGTCTCTGGTTGGAGGCCCGGCTGCTCTGCCGAGTGGGGTGTGGCGCTGGAGGGAGAGGGGCCGGCGGGTGTGAGCCTCTCCTCTCTCGGCTGCCGGCCATGCGCTCAGCTGATTCGTCTCCAGTGACTTCGCTGCAGCAAAAGTTTTTTTTTTAAGATTTATTTATTTATTTGACAGCGAGAGAAGCAGCGAGAGAGGGAACACAAGCAGGGGGAATGGGAGAGGGAGAAGCAGGCTTCCCGCCGAGCAGGGAGCCCGATGTGGGGCTAGATCCCAGGACCCTGGGATCATGACCTGAGCGGAAGGCAGATGCTTAACTGACTGAGCCACCCAGACGCCCCGCAGCAAAAGTTTTTAATGGAAGGAGAGTCATTGGAAATCTTATTTGAATGCCTGGGTTCCCCTGGGGCTTGAGTAATTTGTTCCTTTTATTTTGCCAGGTTTTTTGTTTTTTTTTTTTTTAATCTGCAGTGCTTGGTCAGGTGGGGCGGGGAATAATATGAGCCTGTTAGTAATAGAATATGTTAAAAACATTTATTCACAAAGGATGTGATTCCTTTCTTTCTTTTTTTTTTTTTTTTGTATTTCTCTTTTCCTGACTACCACGTACGGAGATCATAATCCACTAAATGTTGAAGAAAGAGAGAGCTGGACTGGGGGGTGCCTGGGATCCAGAATGGGGGGGTCAGTTCTGCCCCTAGGGAGGAAAGGGCAGGGTGCCCTGGGGAATCTGGGGACCTGCTTCACATCCCAGTGGGGCCCCTACTGTGCCGTGTGGCCTGGGGAAAGGCCTCTGGGAGGTGAGTCGGACTAGAGCTCCAGTGGTCCTCTCCCCTCTTACATTTTGGGATCTTAGGGCCTAGTGAAATGGATCTGGGCTGCCTGGGGTCAGTTTCCGGCTCTGTCCCTTCCCAGCTCTGTGATCTCGGGCAAATGATTTAACCTTTAAATGCCTTTCTCTATCGGAAAGTGGGGATAATGCCAGTGCCCCCATCACAGGGCTCTTGTTAACATACGGGGAGACAGTGTGGTAGGCTCCTGGGATGGCCAGCGCCTGGCCTGTGGGAGAAGCTCCTAGGACAAGGGGGTGCCTGCATCTCACTGATGGGGAAGTGACTGGTCTAAGGTCGCACACGATTCAGTGCAGAACAGGGACGGGACGGGCCACCCTCCCACCCCTCTGCCAATTAGTCTCCTGTTCATAAAGGCTCCAGGGAAGGGTTGCAGATGGAAGACCCCAGAGAAGGAAGAGGCATGATTGTGGGCTTGCAGTGCTCCCTGCCTGTGTCCCTTCACCTGAAGCTCTTCAAGTGCTGCATTTGTGGCTCTTACAGCCCCTGGGTCCCTGGAGCCTCTCCCACTGCACCCCTCCTTATTCCCACCTTCCCAAGGACCTGGGCCGGGCAGGCTGCGGGCTGGTCCCAAGCTCACAGGGACACATCCTCACAGGGTGCGACTTGGGGGGCCCTCCCTTCTGCCTCGGACTTGGCTACTTGTCCAGCCCTCAGTCCTCACAGTGACCCCCTTGCTCCCCCTGACGACGATCCAGTGACAGATCCTGAGCGTGGCCCTGAGCACGCCCCAGCTGTCCTTTCCACTGACTCTCAGCCAGTGCAGACATGGGCGCTGGGACCTGCCCAGGCCCTCAGGCTGCAGCAGTGGGTCTGCCCTTGGGAGCGGTGTTACCCCAGCTGGGTGACGGCCATTTGCTTGGCCTCCCTGGGCACCGGTGTCTGTCTCTCTCTCTGCGAGCTGGTGTTTGGAAAAGGAGGGTGCCCATGTCCCGCCAGCCCCTATGTCTGTGGCCGTGGCCAGTGGCATCTCCGTGGCACTGGAGGTGTAAGAGGACCTTTGAGGGCGGCCTCGGATTTGGAACGTAGAGAAGGGCGGTCTGGGCTGCCACCCCGGAGTGTCACCCATAGCGGTGGCAGGAAAAGCACAGCACTGGGACTGAGCGTGGGAGGACTTCGGGAGGCAGGTCGGGATCGAGGGGCAGGGCAGGGCCAGCGGCTCAGCCTGGTGCAGGTGGGGTGGCCGCCCTCAAGCCTGCGGTTAGGCAGACTCCTCACCTCCGGGACAGTGATCTCACTATTTCTTGAGGGCCTAGCATATACCAGGCGTTGAATCTTTTTTCCCTCCAGCACTCACGGTGACCCTTGAATGGTTGGAATAATTTCCCCCATTTTCCGGAGGAGGCAGCAGACTCAGAGAGGTTCGGTTTCTGGCTCTGTGTCACACAGTGAGGGAGCCGGAGGCTGAGTTGGGATCAGCTGGGGCCCAGCTGCCACAGTCAGCCTCCTGCCGCGGGCGGGGTGGCTCTGGGGGCGCGGAGGTTGGGGGAGCAGAAGGGGCCATGGCCTCCAGCCCCTGAGCCTCCCCCACTGCCCCACAGGGTGCTCCTGTGTTCAGTGGGTGCTGGCAAACAGAGCTGGGCGCTAAATAAGCCCCCACTTAATGTCAATTGGAAATCTCGGCTCTGCCGACAGTGCCAGTTCTTAACGTCCCTTATCCCAAGCGGGCTTTCAATTTTCAACTGCAACAGCCTTCTAATTTGGTCTCAGCCGCCCTGGTTTTGTGACAGGAACAATGGCAGTGGCAGATGGGGAGCTACAACTCCATTTTCCTTTAACGTTCCCCGATTGCAGGCAGGGAAGGCACCATCTGGAAGGAGAAGGTCAGATCATTAAAAAATATATATCGTAATAAATTGCCAGGACTTGATGGGCTGTGGGTGCGGGGGGAAGGAGAGGAGAGGAGCTCGGGCGGCGTGGTGATGGGGGTGCTTTATGTTCACGGGCCGAACTCCAGGAAGGAGGTGGCGCCCTGGGGGGGCAGTTGCGTTTGAGCCGTCTGTTGGGCTCTCGGTGGTCTCCTTGAGAGCAGGGCAGACTCAAGTCCCACCCATCCGTATTCACCGTCCAGGGGCTTGTCCAAGAGGCAGCGCAGCGTCGTGATGTCCGCACCTGCCCGGGGAAGGGTGCTGCCCCGCAGGGTGGGCTGTCTGGGCTGTCAGCCCGCGCTCAGTGCATTCTCCGCCTCCTGGGCCCAGCCTTGGACGTCCCCCTGGCCTCCAGTTCTCCGGGTAGGAGAGGGATGCCAACACCCACCCCTCCTGGTGGCCCTGAGGATGAAATGAGGCCTCACGGGGGACAGAGCTTCGTACACTGTGAGGTGTGGTGCACGTGCGCATTCCGTTATGATGGTGCTTGTCCTATGCCGTAGCTGCCCTTTCCGCGACGGCCTCACCTCCTTGGTGAGCTGTCCTTTCCTGGGGTGCTGCCTCCAGGACCCGGTGGGGTGGAGGGCCCGACACTGGGGGGTGAGCTCACTGTGCAGCTACTGGACGGCTGGTGGGGTGGGTGCCCTGGGTGCGCGGGCTGGAGCTTCTGCCGAAGCAGGTGGTTCATGTCATAGTGCCTGCCGTTTTGCGGATGTCTTTCACTTCTCAGAGAGCATCCTCCCATGCCACCTCGTCCCAGCTCCTCGTGCCACCACCGGCACCGGGAGGCCGCCTCCTCTGGTGGCAGTGGCATTGTTAAAGGCCACGTTATTGAGGTTTGATTGACATTCCTCATACAGAACACAGGCGAGGTTGGGGAGCCTGTGGGCACACACGCACACAGACCAACATGCACACGCACACTCACGCACGCACAGGCACACCCGTGCACACACACAGGAAAAAGAGCCAAGCCAATAAAGGAGCCAGAAACTGTGTTCAGAGCCATGACAGACCAACAGGGGCTGAGAGGGAAAGCGATGGAGGGGCGGGGGTGGGTGGTGGTCAGTTGAGGCCGCTCCCAGGAGGTGGACAAATAACCTAAGCCTCGGGGAGGAGAGGAGCCAGCCCCGGGGGTGGGGAGGACAGCACTCCAGGCAGAGGGAACGTCCTGGGCTCGTTCGTGTAAGTGGCTGAGGAAAGCCTAGCGCAGTGGAGCCTGGGACCGAGGGATGAGGCTGGGAGGGAAGGATCATCCTCACTGTCCTGGAAAAGTCTGGATTTGATTCCACGTGGATGGGACTCGAAGGACGTGGGAACGGCGATGTCCAGTGGAAGTGTAGCGGGATGGCTCTGGCTGTCGTGGGGGGCAGTGGTTAGCGTGGGAAACCGGTCTGGAGGCCCCTTGTGACTGGTGAGCCCCCTCAGATGGAGCTGACCCTTGCTCGGCTGGGCCAGCTTGGGCCCGAGTCCCTGCTTCCTCCTGGCCACTGAGTAGCCCCGTGAGGGGTGGGAAGGCTGTCATCACGCCTCTTCTGTGGAAGACGTCTCCTCCCATCCCTGAAGCTCCAGGTGCCCTTGAGCTTGATGTCATTGCGTTAAGTGACCCCTCTTGCCCAGGGAGCCCCATGCCATCCTCTGGCTCTCCCTCTCCGGGGCAGAGCTACCTCCTGGTTGTCCAGAGTCAGTCATGCCCCTCAGTCAGGGTGGGGGGGCTGGTTGCCAGGAGACAGCATTGGGGTCCGGCAGACCCAGGTCCTCATCTGGACTCTGCCACCAGCCATGCACATGACCTAGTCAATTACATCATCCTCGAGTCGGTCTCATTGTCCATAAAGGGAAAATCGTGATTCTCACTGAGCTTGGTTACTGTGAAAACGAGAACCCGGGACACCTGTAGGACCTGACATATGCCTGTGTGTGGACACGCAGTGGGTGTCTTCACCATGCCCTGCCCTGGCTGTCGGGGTTCCTAGAAGGTGGGCCCCATATGGAGTGCAGAGAAGGATGGGCTCTTGAACAGGGAGAATCCTCTGGGACGGATGGTAGTTTACCCACTCACTCATGCCCTCATGTCATTCATCTTTTCAACCCGTGCTTGCTGAGCACTCACCATGTGCAGGCAGTGGGCTTGGTGCCAGGGAGACCTCAGCAAACAAGACAGGTCAGGTCCTGCTGCCCTGAGCTTACGTTCTAGAGATGTATGCAGAGAGACGGTGAACAAGGAGATAGACAAAGTGATTCTAGATTGTGGTGAAGGCTATGTGGGAAATAAGATGTGGTCTTTAGACTGGTTTCTGAGAGAGGGGGCCATCATAGCCAGGGTGGTCAGGGAGGACTTCTTGGAGGTGGTGGCGTGTGAGGGAGCCCTGACCCATGTGAAGGAGACATTGCAGAGTGTGGTTTAGCAGATGCTCTTGAACACAGCGATGTCCAGATGTGAGTCCAGGGTCTGAGAACCTGCACTTCTCACAGGCCCCTGGGGCCTCAGTGTCCAGCTAGACTGGGAACGTGGAGGCAGATGACCACCTGGGTCTCAGGGTGGGTCTCAAAGGAAGCAGGAGAGAGTCATCCTCTTGACCATACCATCATCATCAGAGCCAGGTGAAGAGCAGCATGTTTGTGTCACTTTGTCTTCTGGCTTGTTTTTGGCCATTCCCCGCCCCCACCACCCCAGAAGCACCTCTAGACCTCTAGGTTAAGGCAGCAGGGCCTGGACTGTGCTCAACATCACAACATTTTTGAAACTTTCTCATCTACTGTTTCACTGGATCCTCATAACGACCTCAAGACAAAGGCGTTTTTATGCCCTGTCTCATGGGTGAAGAAATTGAGCCTAGAGTTGGGGGAATTTGCAGAAGGCTGCTCAATGAGAGGGTGGGTGAGCCAGGACTCAACTCTTAGGTTTCCTGACTCGCTGCCTTGGACGCATGGCCATGACCATGGAGCAAGGCTGGTTTTCATCTTGGCTGGACAGGCATGGGGCTGGGGGTGGCCCCCTGGGCTCGGCAGGGCTGCTCACTGCCCGCTTGGTCCTCAGATTCTGACCAGCTTCACGCGCCTCCTTCCTCTTGCTGTAGGGGAGGAGAACCAGCCGGGCTGGCTGTGTCCGGATGAGGACAAGAAGAGCAAAGCCCCATTCTGGTGCCCCATCCTGGCCTGCTGCATCCCTGCCTTCTCTTCCCGGGGCCTCAGCCTGCAGGTGAGTGGAATGGATCTTGCTGAGCCCACCACGAAGGTGGCTCGTGGGAGAACCAGGGTTTCCAGATTGTGCCCACAGCGGGAGAGGGCCAGGATACAGTCCCAGCTTCTCCACCTCTTACCGATGGAGTTGGTCAAGACGTTTTGGTGCTCTAGGAGTCAGCTTCCCCACCAAAAACATGGGGACAGATGCCCTTTGTGGGTCAAGTGAGCGGAAAATTCCGTGACTTAGAGCTAACAAGTAGCAGTGATCTCATCAGCTGATGGCATGACTCCAGCTCAGAAGAGAGGCCGGAATATGCCTGAGTAGCTCCGCCAGACCATGGGTTGGCCCCTGTCTGATGCTGCCAGGCAGGAGCAGGCTCTGGCCCCGTGGCCATCATGCCTCCGTCCGTCAAGCACCTACTACATCCCCCCAGGGCTTTGCCACCACTCTCTTGTTTTGATATTTGTAAGAACCCCACAAATAGATGTTTCTAGATCTGTTTCCCAGGTTAGAAACTAAGGCTCAGACAGGTGACGTGATTTTCTAAAAACACAGCCAGTAGTAATGGGTCCAGGAATTGGCACCTTGCTTCGCCCGATTCCACCACTAGCACATTCCCTCTGCTGTCACCTGTCCCCGATGTCCCGCCCGTGCTCACCGCTCCCTCTGGGGTCCTTACTGCCTATCCTCCTCCCTAGGAGAGGAGCTCATGTGAGCTCTGGGGAGGGGGAGGCACAGGCTTGGGACCTAGATACATAAGCCCTAAGAGACAAGCTGACTGGGCTGTAGATCAGGGCTCCAAACAGTGAAAAGTGCATACCCTTGAGATGTCAGTTCAGCCATGAGTTTGTTCATTTGTCTGTTCTGCATATAATTTTTGAGCACCTACAATGTTGCCAGGCCCTGTGCGGGACACTGGGTGTATGGTGGTGACCAAACGTACGAGGTCCCCACACTCCTGCAGCTTTCAGTCTGGAGAGAGACAGCAATACCCCGGCAAACAAAAGGGAACGCAGAAGAGTGATTGTGTGTTATATTAGCTGGGACGGATATAGGGATGGGGCTCCATTGTTAGGGGGCCGAGAAGGCCTCTCGGAGGAGGTGGTGGACCTGAGTGGCAAGAAGGCTCCAACCCCTTGCGGGCCCAGGGGAGGAATATCCCAAACAGACGGCACAACACAGAGTCAGGAGCAGTCTGGGAAGCTGCAGCTCGGTGAGCTGGGAGGAGAGGCTGGGGATCAGGTCTGATGTGGGTGCACTGGTCCACGCCAGCTTGCTGGGCTGGTCGCCGTTGGGTTTCATTCTCAGGGCAATGACACCCCAAGGATGGCTCCATGCAGGGGACCAGCACCCTCTGATGTACATTTTGGAAAGATCATCTGGTCCTTCCGGCTGAGGTGTGAGCGAGTGAACTGTGGCCCCAGAGAGAGCAAGACTGGGGACTGAGAGACCGACACAGTGCTCTGTGCAGGGCTCCCGCTGAGCGGTGGCAGGACTTGGTGTGGGTGGAAGCAGGGCCAGGCTGGGGTGAGGCGAGCTGGGCACTCACCTAATCCTAAGCATCACGATGAGTGAAATTTTAATGCAATACTTACAACATCAAATCAGCAAAATTGTGGACTTGGTTTGGCTGCTTTTTGGGGGGTAACAGGCTGGGATTAGGGTGGGGCAGGGCTGTGCAATGCAGGGTCCGTTTCTTTAAAATCTTACTGATTGTTCATCGTGGATTTTTTTTTGCATTAATTTTTATTGCCAAATTTGTGTTATAATATTCCTTTGGATGTTGGGGTGTTTTGGCCCCACTCTCCTTCTTCTCATCCCATTCCTAGAGCCTAGAGGAGGGGACAGGGGCAGGGGACACGGGAAGGCGTTCGGGGAGCGTGCCGGGGTAGGGCTGGCCACATTGATGAGAGTTCAGACAGGCGCTGAGGGGGCAGGAAGGACATACCCAGCTCTTGAGCTTGTGCACCCGGACGTGGTGTCAGGGGGTGGTGGAATGTTCCCCGTGCCACAGCCTGATTTAGGGGGTGCGGTCAGGTTCCCAGCATGGCTCGGTGGCCAGCGACCAGGGTAGCAGCAAACACAGTGTGGTGGTGAGTGCTTTCAGGAGGCTCTGTTCTAGGCACTTCACCACCGGTAACTCTGGTCCTCCCCACTGCCCTCAGACCCTCAGAGGTGGGGCTTGCCCACACTCACTGGGGAACGAGGGTCTTCTTGAGTCGTTCTGGCAGGGGAGGCCAGATGCTGTTCATTTCTGTAGGGCTCAGGGAAGCCGGCCTTTGTAGGCCTTCAGACTTCATTTATTAATGGGGAGGCCTGCTGAGTCCTGTGCGCTCCTTCCCAGCATGGGGTAGGGGGTTCCCAGGGAGTCCATGGAGCTGGAATTTTTCAGGGTCCACCCTGGCTGTGGCTTACCTGGCCCTAGGATATCCTGTGGAGAAGGCTGACCCCGGGGTGACTTCCGTCTCCCCCGATGGCCTTAGTCCTTTCGAGAATATGGGACTCAGACGATGGCCTGACAGATCACTCCTGGGTGGTGAGGTCACAGACAAGCCGCTGCCTCCAGGGCGTCCCTGAAAGAAACCCACCTGACTGGGGAGCTGTCTTCCACCCCATACCTGGGGGCACACATCTGAGAAGCTCCTCATATGTAATTCTCAAGGCCTGGGGACGTAGCAGCCAGAAGCATCCTCAGCAACCTCCAGGTCCCCTGCCTGCCATCTCCCGAGGAGCCCCCTATGTGAGTGGCCTTCTGGGACAACGAGCCTGTGGAGCTCCTGAGGGACCTACTAGAGCCTGCATGTTCCCATTTGCTGGGTCCCAAGACACCACTTCCACTCCTCTTGCACCTGCCGTCCACCCCAGCCCGGGCAGATGTGCCCCATCAGCTGTGCGGGCAGCCCAGATGACTGCGGGCCTCGGAGTGCCCAGGTCTTGTCCAACCACCCTGGGAACAGATGTGAGCGTGTCCGCCGCTGTGTGGGCCTGCCTCCTGGCCCACGGCCTCTCCCCAGGCCCTGTCCCAGGGGCCCCAGACTCGGGCTCTGCGGCTGGCCTAATGGGAGCCCGTGACTAAGTGTGTCCTCCGGGAAAGGCTTGCTGGCCCCAGCCCCCTCCCAGTGTAGACGAGGTCAGTGCTATTGTACTATTAGCCGGAGGAGGGTGTGCGGGGGTGCTCTCCCTCAAAGGAGCAGGGATGTGGGGGCCGTAGGAGGGAGCGTTGCTCTTCTCTGTGCTGATGGGTGGCCGGCGCCCAGGCTGGGCCACACCGAGGCCTTCCTCAAGAGGACAGCATCAGGGTGCACCCATCCCTGGACTGGAGCTCCAGCTCTGCACATGCCAGCCATGTGACACTGGGAATGTTTTAGCACACGGTGTGATTCACACCAGACCCTGGCTAGCCTGATGTGTGGCGCGCACTCAGAGTTCGAGATGGAAACAAAGATTGGAGGGCATTTTGGCCCCCAGAAAGACGCGAGTGTCTGTTCTGAAGGATTTCCAAGCTGACTGTCACCCCAGCAGCACCCCTGGTGGCACCCATCCGGGCTGGAGACTGTCCCTGGAGCGGTGGCAGGAGGGCAAGGGGACGGCTCAGTGCAAAAGTGTCCCCCCGCCGTGAGCCGCGGTCCAGCCTGGGGCCTGCCTGGGGTTGGGAAAGGGGGCCAGGGTGCTCTACGATGTAGCGCCTCAGGGGGCCGGGGGCTGCAGTCCAGACCTGCAGAGGGTCTGCTCCAGGCTCGCTTAGGCCTCAGCATGCTGGCCGAGTGCCTCTGTCCTGGCCCTCCTTAGCCAGAGCTGCTTGCTATTTGTGGGGTCCCCTTCCTCCTAGCTCTGCGCAGCCCACCCCTCCCGGCGTGGCGCTGCTGACAAGACAAGGTGGCGCACATAGAGGGCCAGCAGCACGTCCCACACGAAGTGCCCAGCCCCGTGCCAAGTGCGTTATGTCTGCCTCTCCAGTCCCCGCGACCATCCTGGCGAGGCTTCAGGGTCTCCATGACCATGAGGAACTGGCTTGTGGGGTCACCGGCTGGTAGCAGCTGAGCTGGGACTGGAGCCCGGGCTGGCCGCACCCACAGCCTATCTCCATCCTCCAGCCCCGAGCCACTCTCCTCTTCACTGGCCAGGGCACCTTGATTTGGGAGAGTCAGCTTCCTGGCACAGATGGGACTCCTGGGTCCAAGGAGCCATTTCAGTTTTTGCCATCACTTTGGCCCTGGGCTCTGTGGGCGCAGCTGACATCCGGGCCCCCTGGAGTTGCCATGGAAACGTCAGGTCCCTGGCAGGAGGGGCTGGGCAGCCTCAGCTGCATGTGGCCCACCATGAAGCAAAATGACTAGGAGCGGGGGCCTGAGGGTGCTCGGGGGTGCGGGGGTCAGGGCGAGGGGAGCCTCCTGCTCTGGGTGCCTGGACCTGTGCTCCCAGCCTCGTAGAAGTGGGAGCTGGGAACGCGGAGGCCTGCAATGGGGCAGCCTGGCCTCTGGGTAGAATTTAACTAGAGTAGGAAGGGCGCTGGACCGGGAGTTGAACTCAGAATTCCAGCCCTGACTCTGCTGCCAACTTGCTGTGTGACCTTGAGCCAGTCGTGTCCCCTGCCTCCCCTCCCCACGCCCTGAACTTCAAATTTGCCAGCTCCTCAATGCGGGGACTGGATGAGGTGACCTCTCTGGGCTTCTTCACCTTCAGCCATTAGACACTTCGTTAGAACATCCGCAAGGCTGGGGCCAGCCAGGGCCGCAGCGCCAGCAGAGGGCAGCACCTGCCCTGCAAAGTCCAGGGGTGGCTGCATTCCTCCCTGGGCCACCTCCAGCTGTCCCCTCTCGGCCTCCTTCCCCTTCCTGCTGGCCAAGGGTTCCAGCAGGGTCCGTGACAGGGCCAGGCCACCTCCTCGCACTGCTGTCCTGGCCTGAGACAGACTGGTGGGGTCTAGCTCAGAGAACAGGCCCCAGAGAGCCATCTGGCCTGGGGTTTGGGGCAGCAGATGCAGGAGGAGCAAGCAGCCAGTAGCTCTTGACGACAGCCGGTCACAGACGGAGCCCCTGGCCCCCACAGGCAGCCTGCACAAGCCCCTCAGCCCTCTGGTGCTGGCGGGCTTGTCTGCAGAATGGTTCTGTTGTTGAGGAGGGTGGAACCAGATGTCCAGCACCCCTTCCTTCCTCCACTATGCTTCTCTGGAGGAATGCAGGGAGACCTAGGAGGGAGGCTGGCGCAGGCTGGGCCTTGTCATCTTCCTGTGGCCTAGGGCAATCATGTGTCCACTGTGGGCCTCGTTTCCCCATCTGTAAAATAAGGCGGGGTGGGTGTTAGTGGTTTTCATCAAATCTTATCCAGATGTTGCTTAGTTTGAAAAATCGGTGGCTGGCCCAGGGTATCATTCAGGCGCCTCCTAGCCAGAAGGTTCTAGGAGAGCGCTGGTTAAATGTGAGTGCATAGGTATTGCCTGGACATCCTGTGAACCCTGTCGCTTGCCGGTCCCCAGGGATTCTCACTGGGGACCTGCGTGGGGCCAAGAAATCTGTAGGTTTAACAACCCCCACAGGTAGTGCAGACAGAGGTCCTGTTGCCGAACGTTGGCATCTCCGACACCTTGATGCTTAGCCCCATGTGTGCCTTCTGTGTCTCCACAGCTTGGGGCCCTGGTCCACAGTCCTGTCAGCTGTCCCCTGCTGGGCTTCTCAGCAGTCAGCACGTCCCTTCCACAGGGCTACCTTTGGGTAAGTCACTCCTGAGCTCAGCCAGGGATTCTGGCCTCAGGACAAAAGCATGGAGGACGGCCCCGGGAAGGGGGTGCTGCCTGCCTGCTGGCCCCCATTATGTGCACCTTCACCCAGGAAGGTCTTCCTGGGAACCTCTGTGCCAGGCTTTGTGCTTAGAGTTGGCAGATGCAGCTTCACCAGGGACAACAGAAAACCAGGGACAAAGAAGCGAGCATGACTCTTGCAAATGGTCATGTGCCATGAAGGAAATGAGTGAAGCTGTGCAGAGTATCTGGGTGGCAGGGTCTTTACCCAGAGGGTCAGGAAGCAGGGCTGGTTATTGCCCAGCTCTGGTGCCTGCCTTTTTTCCCCTGGGATTCCTGGCAGAGCCTCTCTCCATTCAGATAGGCACCCTTATGTTCTTTGTGGTACAGACTATGTTCTCCCAGAGACTTCCTGAGGTCCCACCTCACCCCCCCTCTGGCCACCTTCCAGCTCTGGCTTATTCCTGTCTCCAGGCATGCAGGCAGGAAAACTCTGGCTCACCCTTCAGAGTCCATCCCAAATATCCTCTCCGAGGGTGATTTGTTCCTCACTGTTTCCCCAGTATCTAGCGTGTGGTATATCCATCCATGATTGATCCATTTATCCATTCACTTATCCATATAATCATCCAATCATCCATCCATCCATTCACTTATCCATATAATCATTCATCCACCCATCCATCTGTCCACTCATCCATATAATCATCCATCCATCTGTTCATCTATCTACCCATTCTTCTATCCCTTCCTTCCATCCATCCATTTATCCATCTGTTCACCTATTCAGCAAGTATATATTAAGTGCTTACCATTGGCTAAACATAGAGGTAGAACGGTAAAAAAGACAGAGAAGGACATTGTAAAGGGACAGATGTATGTTCACTATTCTTGGTTGAAATTTACTCTAAAGTTGGGGAGATAGAGAGCTGACTGGGTATCTGGTCTACCTTAGCTCCTTACCTGCGTTCCTTTGGGCCCTGAATCTAACTTGTTGCCATGGCAGCTGGGGAAGAGTGACCTTCAGGGACAGTGGGATGTGTGGGGGCAGGAAAGGGGGTGCTCCTCCTGATGCCCAACCTCAGTACGAGTAGAAGTTTGGGACAGGTCACCGGGAAGGCAGGCGCCGAGCTCTGTCCCCACCCTCATGGTTGTGCCTGATGGCCTCTCTGGGTCTCTGCTGCAGGTTGGGGGCGGGCAGGAAGGTGCAGGGGGCCAGGTTGAGATCTTCTCCTTGAACCGGCCCTCGCCCCGCACGGTCAAGTCCTTCCCGTTGGCGGCCCCTGTGCTCTGCATGGAGTACATTCCCGAGCCAGAGGAGGGGGAGAGTGGAGACGAGAGCCATGTGACCACTAACCCCTCTGCTGCAGTGCATCCGACCATCTGCCTTGGGCTCCAGGATGGCAGGTGAGGGGCCTGGGGAGGAGGCGCGCGTTGGTGCTTCATTTCTTTTTGTGGCCGTGAGGCTGGCATCATTGCCCCATTTTGGGGGGAAACTGAGGGGTAGCAGCCTGGGGTCAGTCAGCGGGACGGCGACATGTCTGGGTTCCCACTTGGGTCTGTGTGGTGCTGAAGACAGGCTTCTTAGCACCTTTACCAGCCCCCTCCAGTTCTCCCTGGGGCAGGGGTGGGGGGGAGGGCGCCATCCTCAAAAGACCCTGGGCAAGTCCAGGCTCTGGAAGGGCGGAACAAAGGCCTCTTGACAGGGGAGGGAGGCCTCTCCTGAGGAGGGCCCTTGGGCAGTGGGGGTGGGGGCTCTGTGAGTCACTCGGGTCTCCCCCACAGCATCCTGGTTTACGGCAGTGTGGACACGGGTACCCAGTGCCTGGCCGCCTGCAGGAGCCCCGGCCCACAGCCTGTGCTCTGCGTGAGCCACAGCGCCTTCCACCTGCTTGCCGGTCTGCAGGACGGGACCCTCGCCGCCTACCCCCGGACCAGTGGTGAGGATGCTGGGGGTGGGGGGCGGCGGCCCTGGGCACTGCCTGGGAGCTCATCCCGTACCGGAGCAGTGCTGGGAGGCAGGCCAAGGAGGCAGCTCAGAGACAAATCAGGGAATCTGGGGTAGTTGGAGATCCCTGATTCCCACTGGGGTCCCCGCAGAATGGGGTGCTCACTGCTATGCAGGCAGCTCACCCCATTGGCAGGAGACTCTACAAGAGTAGGGACTCTGGGGTCACGAGGACTCTGGGGTCCGGCGTCACTTCACTGCCCTTTCGATGGCTGTGTCCACTGGTGAGCGGTTGCTTTTGTGCCTGGGTCATCCCAGGGCTCATGGGTCCCCATGGGTTAAACCACCTAGCAAAGGCAAAGCCTGGGGCCTGGCAGAGTGAGTGCTTAATGGCGTTAGGCATTTGAACCTGGGATGTTATGGAGCCACGAGCCACGGATGGTGCAGAGTGTGATGTCTGGAGGGCAAGGCTGGTGGGGTCGGAGCTGCTGCGAGCCAGGAACATTCAGGTGCTTAATGTGTGCACGTTTTCTGAGTTCTCACCACAACCTGCGGGAATTGCTGAAGCTGAGCCCCTGGGAGGGGACACGGCCTGTGCACAGCCACACAGAGGGCCGTGGTCCCGGTCCCCTTGTGGCTTACTCAGCTCCCAGTTCCAAGATGTGTGCTGGGGGGAGGGCAGCCACCCCCAGTGCACCCAGAGAGGGCTGAGGAGTCTGAGGCTCGGCATCCCGCAGGCCCCTCCCTCTCCTCCCTCTCCTCCCCCTTCTCCCCTCCATCCCCCCTCCCTCCTCCTCCCTTCCCATCCCCCTCCCTCTCCTTCCCTCCCCTCCCTCCTCCTCCCTTCCCTCCCCTCCCTCCCCCTCCCTCCCTCCTAAGAGCCTCTAATTGCTGCGTCGTCACTGCCTGTTGCAGGGTTATAAACGGATATTTGTACTGAGCTATTTTTTTGCCACTTGGCACTGTGTTGGTATTTTTAATTAGCTTTTGATAAGGCATTTATAGTTTTTAATTAAAGGGGGAAGAGGGAGGGAAAAAAATCCCTCTTACTGACAGACATTGCATGCGTGTAAATGTAAATATGGGCTCCGATTTTTGGAGGTTTAGACATGGGTTTCAAAGGGACCCCCCCCCCCCACCCTCTGGCTCCCACTGAATTCTGTGAGCCCTGCCTTGCCCCGTTCTGGCCCCCTGGTCCCCACTCTGGGCTGCCCTGCGCCCTTTGTCCCTTGGTTCCTGACTTACCAATTTGGTCACCGGGGTGTGAGAGGGTGAGGGGGTGGATCAGATGGCTGGGGCCACCATAACAAAATGCCACCAACTGAGTTTTTTTTAAGATTTTATTATTTATTTGTCTGAGGAAGAGAGAGTGAGCACAAGCGGGGGGAGCAGCAGGTAGAGGGAGAAGCCGATTCTCCACTGAGCAGGGAGCCCGACATGGGTGTCGATCCCAGGATTCTGGGATCACGACCTGAGCCGAAGGCAGGAAAGCTGGTAGAGCTCCTCAACCTTCTCTTCCTGGCCAGATGACCTCCAGCTCTGCCCAGAGAAGCCAAATCCCCTTACGTCTGGAGAGGGTCCTAGCCCTGGAAAGAGGACACTTGGGTTCGGGTCTCGGCTCACTCATGGGACTTTGCGAAGTCCCTTCCCACCTGGAAAATGAGGGTATGGAGTCCAGGGGTCCCCAGTGGCCCTTCTGGTTCTGACAAAGTACCAGGTTAGACCCCAAAGCTGCTATTATGGGTCGAGTGATGTCCCCTCAAAATTCACAGGTTCAAGTCCTCATCCCTGATACCTCAGAATGTGACCTTATTTGGAAGTAGGGTTGTTGTGGATGTAATTAGTAAGATGAGATCACAAGGGTGGGCCCCTAATTCAGTGCAATGGATGTCTTTATAAAAAGGGAAATTTGGGCACAGACCCTTACCTGGGCTCAGAGCCAGTACTGGATGAAGGATTAGTCAGTGTTTGTAGTCATAGGTTTACTGTCCTGCCTGAGTTTGGCTGAGACCAAGATCCAGTAAAAATGGCATTCCTGCTTTGACTTGTGGCGGAAGGGAAGGACCAGAAATATTAAGATGCGCAGAGCCAACCTGGGAACTTGCCCAAGTCCCGGGGAGCTGCTGTGGAGCCAGCAGCTGAGAGGTGACAGGACTTCAAGGCCACCAGGCCACACGGAGTCCCGTCACATCAGAGCTGGAGGGGCCTTGGAGTCCAAGGCCAAGAGCCGTGTGGTCATGGCAGTCAGCCTGCTGCCCCCGGGAGCCTCTGCTTACCTGCATTCCTTCATTCATTTGTTCATCCTTTCACTAACTCAACAACTGAACACTGCGTATTCAGTGCCCATGAAGTGGGAATACTGAGCACTCAGGACGCCAGGACCCAGAGATGAGCCAGGCAGCTACCTGTCCCCTCCTGGGACCCTCCGCCGCCCCATCTCTCAGCAGGCATGGGAGCATGACCAGGCCCGGGTGGGGGCAGGGGAACGTCCCTGGTTAGATGCTGGGGATGAGGGCCAGGGTCACCCCCTCGAGGAGGCAGATGATGGAATGCGTAAGGGATGGACTGAGGAGCCAGGCTGCCCAGGATGGAGTCCCAGCTGTGAGCCATCGGGCCTGTTGCTCCAGCTCTCCTCACCTGTTTCCTCACCTGTGAAGCGGGTGTGAGGACAGACCCACCTCCAAGGGTGGTTGTGAGGGCCAGATGTGATGAGGCACACAGGTGCCCAGATGCCCAGATGGAGCCCGGGAAGGAGAGGGACTCAGCATCACCGTCATTCCTATCGTTAGGACGGGCTTGGGCTGCCCTTGGGCCTGTCTCAGCCTCGAGGGCTTCCACTCTGTGCTGCCTCCTGGCGGTGTGCATCCCCGAGGGCCACCAGCTCCCGCCTCCTCAAGGTGCCTTTGCTGAGTGAGACGGGGTCTTCATCTCCCTTTGTCTGGCGTGAGAGCCGGTGCTGGGCCCAGACGGATGGGCTGTCACACGGGGCGGGTGTGTGCGTGTGAGTGTGCGCGTGTGTGCCCGGACATGGGCTTGCTTACCCAGAGCCACTGCAGGGCAAGGTGGGGCGTAGGTCAGCCCTACCCAGAGCTCAGGGTGATTGCCTTTAAAATCCTAGGGTTGTGGCTCGTGAGGACTGGGAGGAACCTTGAGTTCTGGCCCCTCGCGGTGCAGCTGGGGAAGCTGAACCCCACCAAAGGGAAGCCTGTTGGAGCTTTGTCCTCTAATCTGGGACACTTGTCCCTTGTCCTTTTTGATATAAAAAATATTGCTGTTATTAAATTTTACCAGTTTATCATTCTGTCCTGGAGTCAAGATTTCTTGGGGGATATCTGGCGACACCAGCAGGGGGAGGAGAGGTCAGCGTGCATGTGACCCTCAGGGGTGTCAGACCCTAGCCCCTATGCCCGGCAGCCACGACCATGCTCTGTGACGGAAAAATACAAGGTAGATAGTACAGGGGCTCTGGTGGTGAAAACTGCTATGCCCACGGGGCAGAGCCCTCACCTCCTTGTTTTCGGATGTGGTCCCAGCATCCGCAGCTGCTTCCTCGCTGGGAGAGGTCACAGCAACCCCCCTCTCCAGCCAGAGCGGCTCCTGCTTCGGCCACACACCCGCACTACTCACCTATGGCCACGGGGGGGCGCCCGAGGCATTGCGTTTTGTGGTTCTGAGTCCTGGTGGAGGTCAGGGTCCCCTCTGGAGGCCTGGACGCCTTGTGGTCACTCACCATCCTGGTCCCAGAGCCCTTTGGAAACTCCGGGAAGCTGAGAGGACAGCAGGGGTTGGGGAAGGAGGCTGGGGCCGGTCAGCACGGTTCAAATCCTGCTTGGCGGGCCGCCCCTTGGGTGGCTTTGTGCAGCTTAGCTCTCCGGGTCTCTGTTGTCACATCAGTCAGGTGGAGTCAACGCCTGGTCCCGCAGACGCTGCGTTGTGGTGAATGACACCAAACAGGAGCTAACAGGCCCCGGATACTTTCTGGCCCTGTCAACGGGCTGGTTATTTAAACTCTGCGTCTCTTTTCTCAGCGTACAACAGGGATAAGAATAGGATCCTCCACTTAGACTTGCCGGGAGTTAAGGACGGAATTCACGAAAACCGTGCCTGGCGTGCCGGGGCTCAGCGGCGCTAGCGACAGCCATCAGCCGCCCTGGCCGTGTGCCGGCCCTGTGCTCAGCGCCCCGACGTGTCCCCCGGCCCGTGGCCCTGGCCACGTGCGGGCACACTCGTGCCATTGGACAGATGAGGCTCCGAGAGGCGCCGCCGCCGGTCCGAGGCCTGGCAGACGTTTGGGGGCTGCGGCCAGGATTCTGGCCCGTGTTCATGTTCACCCGACTCCCCGGCTCCTAGCTAAGCGGGGCGTCTGGGCATATTAAGTAGGACGGAAGGGCGAGGGGAGAACCTGTTTCACAGGTGGGGAGGGTAGAGGAAGAGGGAAAGCCCGAGGGAAGGGGGGTGGTAGGGGATCTGGTCTGTCCTCCGAGGGCTCCTCCCCATACACCCCAAGCGGCGGCTTCTGCCACACTCCAGCTCGGGGGCCTGCTGCTCCCCGCTGTGCCCCCCCAACGGCTGGCTCATGGGGGGTCTGTGAGTGGGGTTCCTTCAGACTCCTTCCAGGGGCCTGGTGGGGAGCATGTGAGGGTTGTCGGGCACTGACAAGCCAGCAGCCGGCTCTGTCCCCCTCCCAGACCCCAGCCACTGCTGCCTGTCTCTGGAGTATGCCCCCCGTTCCCTCTCAACCCCCCTTCTCACCTGGCATGCAGGCAGGACAGGGCGGCCACTGAGGTTCTGTGTGACATTGGGTGTGACCTCAGAGAAACGCCAGTCTTCAAGGCGCTGCTCACGTGCCAGGGAACATTCTGGGCACGTTCTTGGGTGGGCTGAGCATCCCAGGGTGGGCAGGGGAGAATTTTGTTCAGAGCCAGGCCAGGTCCCTTGGTGTGTTCTGTCTTCAGGGGTGGTAGACTGGCGCCAATCGCCTCTCAGACTTCCTCTTCTGCCCCTGGAGGTGGCGGTGTCTCTGGAAGAAGAAGGTCATCAGAGATCTTGGTAAAGGTGACAGAGTGCCCCGGAGGCGGCGAGATCTCGGAGCTGGCGAGAGTCTGCCAGAAACATCTAGTGACAATTCTCAGAGACAGTCTGGGTGGTTTCCCCATTTTACAGATAGGGAGACGGAGGCCTTGAGAAGGGGGAGAGATGTGCTCAAAGTCCTGATTGAGTTTCTAGCAGAACGGGGGCCAGCTCAGGGCACTTCCCACCATGTTGAGCTGCCTTGGCAGGGCCGTGCGAATGCCACGTCTCCTGGGAAGTCTCTCTGGATTGCCCCTGGGCAGGGTTTTCCATCTGTCTCAGCACTCCTCGAGCCCCCCTGTGCTTACCTGCTCATCTCTGCTTGGCACCTTGTGTGGGGGCTGCTGACAACCCCCTGTTCTCTCCGGCCAGCTGGGTTTTCTTGGAGGTCAGGGTCTGTATCAGACTCATTCCTGTCCTCCCAGTACCCAGCACCCGGCCTGGCCCGGGGTTGGTGCTTACTAAGTGTGTGTGTGTGGGGGGGGGAACCCACACGGGAAAGAGATAGGGGGATAGAGGAGGGAAGGAGAGTGAATTGGGGGGTACAGCCCCCAGAGGGGGTGGAGCATAATGGAGGCAGATAGGAACAGCCCTGTCCCTTTGGAGGAGGGAGAAGGGCCAGAGAGAGGGGCGCGAGGGTGTTGTGGGGCCCGGCTGGGCCCACTGCTGAGGGTTCCCGACAGTTCCCAAGGCTTGAGGAGCCCTGGGCCCCTGACCTATGTGCCATTCCCTCCCTACCTCCCTCCTGACCTGCTTCTTTCCTCTCCCTGTAGGAGGTGTCCCCTGGGACCTGGAGAGCCCTCCCGTGTGCCTGACTGTGGGGCCAGGACCCGTCCGCACCCTGCTGAGCCTGGAGGACACCTTGTGGGCCAGCTGTGGGCCTCGGGTCACCGTGGTGGATGCCACTAGCTTGCAGACTCAGGTACTGGCCCTACCTTGTGGCTCAAGGCTGTCGGCCTCTGGGCCATCTGCTGGGTGCATGTGGACCCTTCTCATGTCTGCCTGGCACCGTGCTCAGCCCCAGCTGTGTCTCAGGAATCCGTGAGAGTTTGTTGAGAAGCACAGTGGGCCGCCAATCACTGCTGGGCCCTGCCCTCTGCCCCAGCATGCACCCCCGGGGCTGCCTGGAGGGGAAGGGTCCCGACCACGGGGCTGAGCCGTGATCTGGCCCCTGGGCTGTGTCTCTTGCTACCTGTGGAGCAGGAATTGGGAGCCCTGCCTCACACCGTACCCAGGACCCGGCTGTGCTGAGGGGAGGCCGGTGGACGCAGCTGTCCTGGAGGCTGGGCTCTATTTAATTTATTTTTTTAAATATTTATTTATTTGAGAAAGAGGGAGGGAGAGGGAATGAGAGCAGGCAGAGGAGGAGAGGGAAATCTTCAAGCAGACTTGCCACTGAGCATGGAGACCGACGCGGGGCTGGATCTCACAACCCTGAGATCATGACCTGAGCCGAAATCAAGAGTCGGACGCTTAACCGACTGAGCCACCTGGGCACCCCTGGGCTCCTTAAACTGTGGAGGTGGAGGCTGCAGTGTCCCCCTTGCCATGTTGTGGGCTGAGCACCTCCTGCGCCCTGGCTGCCGGGATGAGGGCCTGGTCCCCGGACCACAGGCGTGGACTCAGGCATGGCTCCCCAGTGGTATTTCGGTGATGTTTGCCATCGTTTGATTTGTTTGGATTGTCAGCTTGGAGTGGGGCCTTGGTAATCAGGCCCAGAGTAGAGGTTTGGGTATAGGCTCAGGGTTGGAACAGACAGGTACCCCAGGTGAGCTTCTGTGGGGGGGCGATTGCCATTTGCCCACTGGCTCATCTCTGTAAATGGGCTGTAAATTGGCTACGTAATAGCCAGGCAAGCACACTAAGGGAGTCCTGCCATTGTAAGATCACAGGTGTTGAGGGCTGGATCAGGTGGGGAAACTGAGGCCCAGGGAGCTGTGGGCACGCCCTGGGACCCTGGCTTGAGTCTCAGGGTCGTGGTGCTCACTTTCTGTTTTTGTTGGAACCTGAGGGGCAGTTCTGGAGCTGTGTGTGCCCTGCTCTGCGTCCCAGTGCCGCTCACCTGCTGGTGCCTTGTTAGGGCCCCATCTGTGAACCCTAGTTTCCCACTGGTGAAAGGGGGCTCAGTGTCCCTTCCCGGGGGTCCTCTCGCTCACTGAGATAATGCTTGGGAGCCACAGTCCTGGTCAGTGCCAAGTGCTGGGCACATTTGATTAGAGGCCCCTCCTGGTGCTGGGAAGGGAGGAGGAGGGATTACACCCCAGCCCGCCAGCCGGGGGTGGGGGGCAGTGCTCGGGGCAGAACTGGAGGGTTTAGGCTTTGAGTTCTCTTCATCCTTTAGAGGAGAAGGGTGTTGGGGGTTGAAGGTGACTCCTGGGCCCCAGTCCCAGGCCGAGGGCTGGGAACATCCTGTTGAGGACCAGTGACCTCACTGGCCCCGCTGGGCCCGGCCAGGTGGGGGATCTGGGGAGGGGCCGGGGGGGCCTCAACAGGAAGGAGGCTACTGCCTCCCGCTCTGGTCTTCTTTCTCCTGGGGGGAAGCCAGAGTGGGGAGGGGAGCCCTGAGCAGCTGTAGCCACAGACCCCCTTCCCAACCCCTGATTTGCTTTGGGGGGCTTGCCTGCTACCACCCCCCACCTGCCCCAAGGGCCTCTCACCTCCTCCACCTTCTGAGAAGGAGAACAGGGAGAGCTGGTTCCCCCAGGGCCTTTGGGGTCCCTGAAACTCAAGCCACTTGGTAGGAGGAAGGACGGGGCCCATCTGACTCCTTGGCCTACCCCCTGCAGCACCTCCCCCAGTGTCCCTGCATTGTCCTTATGCCAGGCCTGGGTGCCCTTGTTGGCTTTCTCCTGCTAGCACCTGTGCAGGCTCCAACTCGTGTGGAGGAGAGCCGTGTGAGGGGTGCTCAGCCAGCAGCTGAGCACTGGGGCCCAGTTGAGGGCAGCTGGGGAAGCAGGGAGGGGTCCCAGTCCTGCACATGGCAGCCTCCAGACTGATGGGGGAGACACAGCCCTGCCCTTGGGGGCTTCCAGTCTGAAGAGGGAGACACAGCCTGCCCTTGGGGGCCTCCAGTACGATGAGTGAGACCCAGCCTGCCCTTGGGGGGACTCTAATCTGAAGAGGGAGACATAGCCTGCCCTTGAGGGCCTCCAATCTGATGGGGGAGACCCAGCAATGCCTTTGGGGGGCTTCCAGTTTGATGGGAGAGACCCAGGCCTGCCCTTGGAGGGCCTCCAATCTGATGGCGAGATACCACCTGCCCTTCGGAGGTCTCCAGTCAAATGGGGGAGACAGACCCCTGCCCTTGGGGGCTTTCCAATCTGATGGAGAGACACGACCTCAAGAATAGGACCAGGAGAACTGTGTGGGAAAAGTGAGCCCAGAGACGTGAAGAAGCCAAGAGCAGAGACAGGATGAGATGGAAAGGAGCAAGCCCTCCTAGTGCCCTGTTGGCCAAAGGACGCTCTTAGCCCTGCCAACAGGGGCAATGAAGGGAGAGGGAGGAGGCAGCTGGGGACACTGGGAGGCAGGCTGTGAACTAAGAGGTGTCTCTAAAGAAGACTCTTCTAAGGAAGGGTTCAGAGGACCCAGAAACCACATGGGAGTCAGCGGCTGATGGTTGTTGGGGAGGAGGTGTGGGCCACAGGGCCTGAGCCCTGGTGAAAGCTGGGTCCCCCTGGCCCCCGCCCAGGGCCCTGAGACTTTCTGGAGGGGCGGATTGAGAGGCATCACCCAGGGCAGTGGCCCCCATCTCTGTCCTGGCCATGCCCCTCTTGGGTTCCCTGGGCACCCCACTCCCTTGGAGGTGTGTGGTTGGCTGGCTGGCTGCTTTAGATGGCCCTGGCTCTGCCTGCCAAGCTGTGCACCCTTGGACAAGGCGCCCAGCCCTCCTGGGCCTCAGTGGCATCACCTGGAGAATGCGATGCTGATAGGACTCTGTAGAGGGTTGAATGAGAATACTTAGTGTGGAAGGGCTGTTCCACACAGGGCCCGGCAAATAGCAAGTGCTCAACGAACATTGGCTATCACTGTGATTATTTGCCTCAGTTAAGTCCTTATTACCATATATAGGGCTTATTTGGAGATTCAAGCTCCCTTTGAGTTGGTGTTGCTGGTGGGTATGGGGTGTGCGTCCATGTCGCGGGTCTGCCATCCTGGCTTTGCCGGCAGGAAGGGGATCGTGAGACAAATGGATGAAGGGCAGGACAGGGATGGGGCCGGGCCCTGGCTCTCTTTCACCCGATTTTACCTCTTGCCAGCCGCAGTGCAGTCCTGCCCGGGCCCCGAAGCTCAGCTCTGGCCCTACCCTCCCTGGGGCTGAGCAGCCACCAGGCTCCAGCTCTAAGCTGCAATGATTTAAGATTAGTTGTGGACCAGCTGCTCTGAAGAAGGGGATCAATATGGCCTTTTACCTGCATTGCACACCATGGAGGGCATCAGGAGGGTGTTGGGTGCGGGGAGGCAGGACAGAGGGAAGGGGTGGTGGGTCGGAGGGAGCATGCGACCTGTCTGCAGCCGCGGAAATTGAAAAGTTTGTGTGCTGACTGGTGCGCGCAGCTCACCTTCAGTACACACAGCCCTTCGGTACAGTAACGAGGTGATCACCATGCATATTTAATGAAGCTGCACTTGGCCGCTGCTTGGGATAGAGAGGAAGCCTGCCCACCTCAGCGCCAGGGCTCTGGAAACAGCCCGGACTGGCTGCTGCCTAATGACGCCGTCTGTGGGGCCCGGCTTGTGGCCGGCTGGGCCTGGGGGAGCAGGGCTGCTGTCCCAGGGCTCAGCACACTTCTCTGCAGAACGCTTTACTTCAGAGGAAGGGCACTGCTTATCAGCAGCGACGTGGCACATTCTCCCCCAGGCTGGAGAAAACCCTCGGTGGGGATTTGGGGTGCTTAGGACTAACTGCTCAGTGCTCCGAACCAGGGGGCCCGGGAGTGTGCCAGTGGCTGAAGGTGCGTGCCTGCTGGGGCTCTGGCCCAAATGTGGAGACATAAGGAGTTAATCTAGGGATTGTGTTAACTCCAAGGAGCTTTCCCTGATTTTTGCCACCCCCAGGAAAATGATACTAACCAACGTATATGGATCGGGTATGGGTTTTAAGTACTTTGCAGGAATTAACATGTTTAATCCTTAAATCACCCTATGAGATGAGCATTATTATTATTCCCACTTTATGGATGAGGAAACAGAGGTACAGAAAGGTTAAGTGACTTGCCCCAGGTCACACAGCTAGAAGGAGGCCGAGCTGGGATCTGAACATGGGCGTCTGACTCCTCAGTCTGCTCTTGATCTCTGTGTCAGCTGCTTGGGTAGGCAGAAGGCTGTGTCCTTTGGGCTGCATTTGTCCCCTACAGTTTCTGTCCTGTTAAATGTAACTGCTGGGAACTCTGATTTGTTTATGCATGTGCTTTTTTCACCAGCATGTCTTCCGGGCCAAGGATTGCTGCCTGTTCATTTTCCTTTCCCCCGTGTCCGGCTTACACAGCGGTGCTCTGAGTCCGTAGTCATGGTGTATGGACAGATGGGTGTCCTGATTCCCAGGCCCTCTGTGTGGGGTGCTGGAGGGATGGACGTGAGTAAGACCTGGTCTCAGCTCCTTGGGAGCTCAGAGGCCAGTGTGGGGAGCAGACCCGGGACGCTGAGTGTCAGCCCAGGGTGAGGAGACTGCGAGGGGGCAAGCCCAGGCCCAGTGGGAACCCAGGGGAGGCACGAGGGGTGCCAGATCCAGCTGGAGGAGGGACAGGAGCTGGTGAGGTTCCTGGAGGTCAGGACCCCTGAGCTGGACTGGGCAGGTGCATGGCTGTGATGAGTGCAGGAAGAGAGGAGGCAGGGAAGATGCTCTGAGCAGAGAGCGCACCATGAGCTGGGTCAGAGTCAGCCCCGCCGAGCACAGATACGGTTTGGAGGGCTCCCTGGGGA